AGTATGTCATGTGGATGTCCGGTCAGCCTGGTGCTGGTACTTCTTCCTCTGATCCTCCGCCTACTACAGATCGAGATGTTTCGACAACTCAGCATCAGCCACTACCATCTCCTCTTGATCCCGATACCGCAGATAATACCTTGGTCACTCCTGCCGACACTACAACACATCCAGCAAATACTCCTCCCCGCATTACGAGACTGGATTGTGCAAATGACCAACCTCGTATTTTGATTTTGGATCTTTTTAGCTTTTTGTGGTTTTTTTGTATTTTGTACAGTACATTACATTAATAATTACATTTTTACATTGTTATTGTGTTGTGATCTTGATGATGGTACTTCTAATTGTGAGATATATATAATTGAATGAATGGGTACTTCTAATTGTGAAATATATAATATAATAATATTATATGTAGTATTATATAATATATATGCTGTAAAATTATGGTTTTTAATATAATTATTAATTTTTTTGTAATTGTATATTAGAACCGAACTGTAACCAAATGTAACCGTTACATTAAAATTGCCGAAAGATCACCTTATATATGCTGTAAAATTATGGTTTTTAATATTATTATTATTTTTTTGTAATTGTATATTTATGACCGAACTGTAACCAAAATTGTAACCGTTACATTTAAAATTGCGAAAGATCACCGACCAATCGCTTTCAAAATTTGTGACCGATGTGCGACCACTTTTCATAATTGTGACAGACACAATCTGAGACCAATTTGCGACAGGATTTCAGAAGGAAGACACGACCGAAATTAGTGATCGATGTTTATAATTTTCCGATCGATTTTTCGGTCGTTAATTTGCTACCGATTATTAATTTGGTCGCAAAACATTCTGCGACGAGCACTTTTGCGACAAGCACCATCTGTCGCAAATCAGTTGCTGATATAATTGAGCGACCAATTTCTAACACTTTGCGACCGATTTGTCGATCGCAAATGAGTGAATTTTTTGTAGTGTCAGTCACACTTCCAGGAGCTAATTTGTCAATTTCTTCAAGTTTATTTGGAAGTATTGCCAATATATACTCTTGGCACATATCCAAAATTGTTTCCTAAGTTCAGATCCTCTTCATTTTTTCTGCCATTGACTAAAGATGTGCATTGCACACCAATTGTGCTCAGCTAATGGAAGCTCTATTTTGACAGCCTCAATTAACCCCTACCATCATTAAATGAAATCATTAGTATTGTATTAACTCATGGAAAACATAATTAAATAAACGACATTTTATAAATCAACTATAAGTTAATCTAACCTTTTGCATATCAAATATAATAACCAACTCCTTCAATCCTTCAATATCTAAGTCCTTTTTTATATTGTTAAGAAACCATCCCAATTTTGTGTGTTCTCCACTCTTACAACTGCCCAGGCTATAGGGTACTGATGATTATTGGCATCCCTCCTAACAACTGTAAGAAGTTAAACCTTGCAATTAGTCTTCAAGAAACAACCATCACCACCAATCATTAGCCTGCATTCACCCTTCCATCCTTTTTTGAAGGCATCAAAACACACATAAAATGCTTCAAATTTGTTTGATTCTCTATTTGCATGAATAATGATATTGCTCCCTGGATTCGTGACTCGTAACTCTTCTGCATAGTCATGCAAACTTGCATGTTCTTTCATAACATCTCCTTCAAACTCTATTTTTACAATGCGCGTCACCCTCTTGGCCATACTAAAGGATATGTTGACTATAATATTTCTTTTTGCTTGATCCTTCAACTCTTTACACTTTGTTTTAGGATATTGTCTTAAAGTTTCTCTAAAGTGACAACTTTAAACTTACAAGTGGCCCTTTTGTTGTTGTACACCCTATAACACTTGTGCTTATAATTATAAGTCTTAGTCATTAGGTCCCTTGAATTTGAATTAATGCTAGCAAATATCATCCATGCACAACCGGCAAAAGTACATTTTGCCCTCATCCTATTTCTCGCATTTTTAGTGTATGTAATCTCAACACTTTTGTTCTTCCTTTTCCTAATGTTGGTGTGCTCTTCATCTCTAGATATCTCCTCCACCTTAATATCTTGAGAATCATATCTATCATCCGCTCCATTTTCATTTTGGTTCCATTGTCATGGCAAAGTTCATCTTCAGAAACCTCACTGAGGTGATTCGCATTAGCTATTGGCAAATCTGCTTCATTTTCTTCTTCATTATCCTCATCTTCAGAAACTCCATCATAAAATTCCCTATGGAACTATCTGGTTTTTTTCTCTTGCTTGGTTCAACTCTTCATTTCTAGTGTCAGATTGATACTCAGCATCTACCTCTATATATACATACTCATCCCCGTCAGCAGATTGTTCTAAACCCAAAATATTTTTCAAAGTTGATATTCCATTTTGGTCACGCTTTCCAATTGAAGGTAAGATAGGATTATCGGATATTACATTTAGACTGTCCACTAGGTATTCTAAATAAATGTGAATATTGTCCTCATCCTCATGGCCACAACTCAACATTTGTTGTATTACATCCTCATTAGATAATAAGACCTGTCCATCCTTCAATAACAGCAATAATTGATATTCTGTTGCAACTTTAACTTTGGAGTATTATTGCAACTTTAACAATTTTTAAAAGCAAACGTTAACGGCAACACTTAATAAAAGGACAAAAGGAAATCATATAAAATATATATTTAAGGATAAAAATTAAAAGCACATGTTGTTGTTGCTTTCAAAGCTTATTTAAAACTAAAATCATATGTCGGTGTTGTTTTTAAGTATAAAAGCAATAGTTAATCAATAGCACAGTACAACAATTGTTGATTTTCAAATTACCAATACAATAAAAATCGAAAAAAAAAAATTTAACAATTGAATACTAACAATAGTTAGTACCCTTTATATTATATTCAATAAAATAACTTAAACAACAGTAACATTATTTAAATAAAGATGAATAACTTACTCGAAATAGAGGATCGCTCAGTCACTTTACTGCAGCAATTGGTGAATTTTGGATGCCACACTCAGCCTTCTCGACGATTATTCCTCTCAATCTTGCATTATATTTCTGGCTATAGTTGATATTCTGAATTTTGATATGATTATCCTCATAAAACCCTATATTAATTAGTATAATTGGTTTTTCATTGAGATTTATTCCTAAATAAAAAATCAAATTTACCCTTAAATAATCCTCCAACTAAAATTTTATCTTTATCTAGATGAAATAACTAAAATACCTTGTTTTACTAAATATAAATTAATTACTTTCAGAATTACTGAAATACTCCAAGATCACTATATGACAATATTATAATCAAAATACTTCCAATGACATTTTTAATATCTTTCTCACCTCAAAATATAAAGTTTAATTCCGAAAGACTCTTAAATATGCTAAATTACTAAAACAGCCATACGAAAATTTTATTTTTCTTGCTTGTGTTTGTTGTATTAGGAGAAAAAAAAAATATCATTATCATCATAAAGATAGATTGGCAAAAATTAATGTTGGAGAGAGAGAGCGAGATTGATTTTCCAGCAACAAGTGTAGATGTTTTGGGTGTGGAAGAGGGAAGAAAAGTTGTGCGATTATGGTTGTGGTGTGGTGGTTAGGGAAAATCTTATGTAACACAAGCTTTTAAGCACATGTAATTTGTCAATGTTTTAATTATTTCTTTTTTAAAAATATGATTTCCAATTATATTATTGATTTAGTTTGTAAGTGATGTGGTAAACACAATAAGAATTTTTGGTTATTTGTTTAATCTAAAGTGATATGCTAATAATTTCTCATCAATAATATTAACTTTTGCAATTATAGATGCCTCCTAATTTGGTCGATTCTGTTATAATTTAATTTTTTCAGGCTTCATTTGTTTTTGTAAAATAATTTGTAGGAAAATATTTTTTATTATTTAGAGTTTTAGGAAAATAAGTCAACGGAAAATGTTTCCCTGGTCAAAGGAAAATTAAACCATTTTCTATTTTCAAAAGAGTAAAATATTTTTCGAAAATTGATAAACTTATTATAACCTTATAAATCCATATGTTTTAATTTGTTAATCATGATTACCCACTACCACCAGTCACCGTTGACCACCGGTCACTGACGATTTTCATAATTTATCATTTCTTTTGTATTCTTCTAATATCTAACAATAAATTTTTTAAAATATGAAATTTCTATTATTATGAATATTTTTATAGTTTTATAAGTTAAAAATTTTAATATTTTTAACTAATTTTTAATATTGAAATCATACAATGAAAAATAAATTATTTGAAAAATATTTTTCAAGAAAACTCTAAAAGTAAATTATTTTGGAAAAATAAATGAATGCGTGACAAAATTTGATCAGTTTGAAATAAACCAACAAAATTTTCACCTGCTCAATAATTCCCAGAAAAATTAATGGGACACGTAAGCCGCTTTTAATAACAATTACAATACTTCAAGCCTTTTCAATGACAAAATCAATAACTGTAATCTGGTCTTCAACGTCACCCAAAGCATGCAAAACTTGAACCTTCCTTGCCTTTCACGTACATGTAAGCTTTTCCAGATATAACTTCTTATCCTCATCGTTTGTTTCTGATATATGACACGGTAACCGCTTTTAATAACAATTACAATACCTTCAAGCCTTTTCAATGACAAATCCAATAACTGTAATTCCTTGGTCTTCATCGTCACCCCAAAGCATGCAAAACTTGAAACCTTCCTTGCCTTTCACGTACAATGTAACGCTTTTCCAATATAGGACTCTTATCTCATCGTTTGTTTCTGAATATATAGTATAATATATTATATATTTATATACTATATATAATATACGTATAGTATAATATATATAGATGCATTTTTTCTGATATTGAAATGAACCTATCAAAATAATTCCATCTCAAAATGCAAACATCTACCTGCATCCTATCAATTCCAATATATTCCATTTGAATCCATCGAATCCTCTGCTACCAAATATATGCAATTTTTTCTGATATTAAATGAACCTATCAAATAATTCCATCTCAAAAATGCAACAATCTAACCCTGCATCCATCAATTCCAATATATCCATTGAATCCATCGAATCCTCTGTCCAAACCCTAATCAAAAGCTGGTACAGAAGGCAAAAATGGAAGCTTTTCTTCAACCCGACTGACGAACAAAGCCAGAATACTATAAACGAAGCAAAATGGAGAAGAAGCATGACGAAATTTCTTGAATCAACGCCCGTTCGCGCTATTTCTGTCTTTCTCCTTCTTCTAGATCTCATTTTAACCGTTCTGGAACTTTCCTCGTCTTTACTTTCTTGCTCGCCGCAAAAGAATACAATAGAAAAGCAAGTTTGGTACCATTGGGTAGGAATTGCTATACTAAGCCTGCTTTCTGCTAAGGCAATAGCACTTGCGGTGGCACTAGGCGGTTCTTTCTTCAGGCGGCCTGGTTATGTCGTCGATGGTGTGGTTGTTGGGTTGGCGTTGTTGCTAGAAGCGCTGTTGGAGAAGAAGGGAGGAGCTTTGATCGTTGTAGTGAGTTTGTGGAGAGTGGTGAGGGTTGTGGAGAGTGCATTTGAGTTGAGTGATGAGGCTATTGAGGCACAAATTGAAGGGATAGTTTGTCAATTTGAGATACTTCGAGAGGAGAATGCAAGATTACTGGAGATAATTGCTGATAAAGATGTTGTAATTAATAAGTTACAAGAAATGATAGACAAGTTACAATCTGAATGTGATCAGTGTAGAGAATAGATATATAGCAATAACTTACATTATTGGAGAATAATTGATGATCATATTTGAATATTCATTTTGATATCTATGCATTCTTTGTAAACCAAATAGTAATTAGATATAGAAAATGGATCTATTGGCTCCATCCATGAACCAAACTAAGGAAAATAAGAAAATTTTAAATTTTATACTCTTATTCTCCAGCAGGTCATAAACCTTGGAAAAAATTTCCCAAAATTGGATTCATGACCCCTTTATGGACTAAATAAATAAAATTAAAGATTTTTTAAAAATGTTTTGATTTTATTCTTTTTTGTTCAAATGTATGGTCATAAATACTCTCGTTTCAATAAGAATACAGAATTTCATTGATTTGGTCCATAAATAGACCACGAACCCGTCTAAGTGAGTTTTCCCCTAAACCTGGTCTAAGTAAGTAAATTCCCTCTATATGACTATATGTAAGACCATCTATATAATAAGCCAAATTTTTTAGATATTAACTTGTCTAAATCGGATCCATGACTCCACTTATGGACTAAATTGATAGAAATGGAATTTTTTTGTTAAAACAAAGTATTTCTATCTATACATCGGGACAAAAATGATAAAGTAAGAATAATATTTAAAAAAATTATATTTTTATTAGTTTGATTCATAGATGGCCAAACACTCATTTAAACAATTTTTTATTATTTAAGATTTTTTTTCTCAATGAGTTGATGCATCGAGTTAAATATAACAATGACTTTTTAAATGGAAAATAACTATTGATTTGATGTATATACGAATAGCTCCATACACCTGTTGATTGAATGGGAAGCACTCAGAATCTTCATCTTCTACATCCTATAGAGAATGTTGGAAAACCAACTAATCTACATGTGAGTGCAACATTATTATACAATCTCCATGTCAAATTGTTGTGGTATTTTTTGAATATTTATTCGATCAAGACTGTTTAGAGATATGGAAATCTGTTTATGTATTCTTAATTTAAAATTTTTTTTTGTTTAATTGAAAAGTTTAAGCACTAAATTAATACTTTAACTATTGTTTAAGTTAGCAATTACGTCAGCATTTTTAACTTTTTCAAAAAAAAAAAAAAAACAAATAATTGAACGGAGGTCCTTAAGTGGGCTGCGGCTTACTCTTCTGGTTCATAGACATCTTTGACTCTGTTGCTTCTCCTCGTAACAGAGAGTGTTTTGTTTTGGTTAGAACTGGAAATGGCAGGAGCAACAGTGAAGAGGATAAAGCTTGGATCGCAAGGACTAGAGGTATCAGCTCAAGGACTTGGCTGTATGAGCATGTCCGGCGGCTACGGCCCTCCAAAGCCTGAATCGGACATGATCGCTCTCATCCACCACGCCATTAACACAGGCGTCACTTTCCTCGACACCTCCAATGTCTATGGACCGCTCACCAATGAGATTCTTCTCGGCAAGGTTCGCTTTTTCATTTACAATAAAAAAATGAAACAATATATGGAAATCAATAAGCTTAACAGAAAGTGCTTTGACTTTACCAGTTCTTTACTTTTATTTACAACTTAATTTTTGATATTTTTTAAAATAAAAAAATATTTATGGAAATTAATAAGTGTTTTGCAGTTTTAATTTACATCTTTTAATTAATTTGTATAATTTTGTGATATTTTTAAATGGAAAATTTTATGTAAATCAATTTGTTAACTTCTGAATTTGCCTCAGGCTCTGAAAGGAGGGATGAGAGAGAGAGTGCAGTTGGCCACCAAATTTGGCATAATCTTTAAGGACGGAAAGGTGGAGCTTCGAGGAGATCCTGCATATGTAAGGGCTTCTTGTGAGGACAGCTTGAAGCGGCTCGATGTTGATTGTATTGATCTTTATTACCAGCATCGCATTGATACCTCCATTCCTATTGAAGTCACGGTTTGACTCTCTTTCTCTTCCTCCCCTGTTTTTTTTTTTTTTTTTTTTTTTTTTTTTTTTTTTTTTTTTTTTTTTTCTGTTTTTTTTTTTTTTTTTTTTTTTTTTCTTTTTTCAGATTTGAGTTATATAGTAACTGATTTTCAAACTATGGTCGATTCTTTAGCAAAAATATTGTAATTTTGTATGAATTTTTTGATAAAAATAAAATTTTTTAAATAATGTAATAACTTTTTGTTCTATAAAATATTTATATTTTTGAAAGGTATTATTTAATTTTATATCTAATATTAAAATGATATATATATATATATATATATTTATGTATGAAGAAAACCAAGCTACATAATATTCAGTCCATCCTTGAATTTGATGGAACCAAACATTTGAGAAGAATAGTCATCCTATATTTGATTCTCTGATTTGGATTTCAGGGTAGGGAACCAAGTAACAATAATAAGCATATTCTAGTTCTTATTATTGTTGCAACTGGAAAATTGTTTATACTGTATAGTTGTTTATGCATTGGATTGCAGTGTCAAAAGGTCTAGTTATTAAGCACCCTTAATTGTTATAATTTGTTTCTTTTTATCTTTGCAAGATGGGGGAACTCAAGAAACTAGTTGAGGAGGGTAAAATAAAGTATGTAGGTCTATCTGAGGCTTCTGCTTCAACAATCAGACGAGCTCATGCTGTCCACCCAATAACAGCTGTGCAGTTGGAGTGGTCCTTATGGTCAAGAGATGTGGAGGAAGATATTGTTCCTACTTGCAGGTGACACGTCATTGAGAAAAATTAATTTATTTTTGGAATTCAAATGAATACAAATATAACATGTTTATTCATTACATGGTTTCTTGTTTTTGATCTTGCCCCTTGTAATTCTCAGAGAACTTGGCATTGGTATCGTCGCATACAGTCCCCTGGGACGAGGATTCTTTTCGTCTGAGCCTAATTTGGTTCAAAACCTTGCAGAGGGTGACTTTAGAAAGGTTGGGAAAGATTTACCAACTCATTATGCATTTTGAATTTTGAGTATGTCACATGTGCATTTGGCATATGAATGTGTCCTAGCATCAACATCTGATTATTGGGATACTTCCGCAAGTGTCTATAAGGTTTGCTAGTATAGAAGGAGAGGGCCCATCCTTAGCTCTAAAAATAACCAAATTATGGCATTTTGCTAAATTATGAATATTGTTGTGTTGCTTCATGAGGATGAATCTTTGCAAAATATTAGTAGTAGTCGGTTTTAAGAATTAGGAGAGGTCCATTTATGCTAAAGTTTGCAAGTTATGTCCATATTTACCTTCAATTTGGTTGTCGTATTACTTTGTCACATGCTTCATATACCTTTAATATAATGGAGACTAGCTAATTCATAAATTTATGAGTTAATTTGATAAAATTGAAAGGAAAGGACTAGAATTAGGAAAGTGGGCATAAGTTCAGTATTTTTCTAGTTTGTAGTTCCTCCATATTCACCTTATTTTTCCTTTCTGGTTGGTTACCTTGTCACCATTTCACTGCAGAACTTTCACTCATACAAAATGTAGATTTTTATGATTTCACATACCTTAGTGCGAATGATACATGAACACTGATGATCTTGCATTTTTTTGGATTTATGTTGTCAGGCTTCCAAAAGTTATCCTAATTTTCTTTGCAAATCTTTTTTGACATTTTTTATAAGTAGTTCCTTAATCCTTGCGGTGGTGAAAAACTTCAGTGATTATTCATGATGCTCAATCTATTCCCTGAACGTGGTCTGCCATAAAAAGGACAAGAAGCCTTAATTGATCCCATCAATAAGTCTGGATGCCTAATGTTTTTGCTTAAACCTTCTATGTTCAATTTAAATTGGAGGGATATAACATTCCATCTGTAACGAATCATAGACTCTTTTTTCCCTTGATGAAGTTGTTTAGAACAATGGTCTTGGACTATATGTAAGATGCTATGATGTTATGCCTTGCAAGTAGGAAGAGTTATTGTTAGGTTTCAGAAATTTATTCGACTACTTTTTTTCCAGAATTTTATTCAAGTAGGGACATGATAGTTTCTTTTGTTTGAGTTCATTTGCTGTTGATATTGACACGAGTACTGTTTCTTTTGTCACAGGTTCTACCTAGATTCCAAGCTGAAAATCTGGAGCACAACAAAAAACTTTTAGAGCGTGTTAGTGAAATTGCAGCAAGGAAACAATGCACCACATCACAACTTGCACTGGCTTGGGTCCATCACCAAGGAGATGATGTCTGTCCAATTCCCGGAACTACCAAGATAGAAAACTTCAACCAGAATGTTGGAGCTTTGTCTGTTAAACTCACGCAGGAAGACATGGCCGAACTTGAATCCATTGCTTCTGCTGATGCTGTAAAAGGTGAAAGATACTTCAGCAACTTTCCAACATACAAGGAATCTAGCACTCCACCACTATCCTCATGGAAAGCAGCATAAAAAGCATGCCTTTGAGCCTGGTGTTTTTTTATTTCCTTGTATTTGCTTGTTGTCTTTGAAGTTTCATATAGTATGAAGGAATAAATCTCTACTTAATTAATAAAATATTTCATGATTTTGAATTTGGATTGGAGTTCAAAGTGTAAAATCATAAAGAAATACATATGATGCTTGATTCCATATGTTCAAATCAAATCAAATGATTAAGAATTCATTATGAATGACATTACTTTATAAATGCAAGTTAATTGAAGTTTCAGACCAAATTTGGAATAAAGTAATTTGTGATTTTTTATTAAGACAGACCTGATAATACAACTATAATCCTCACATTTTTTAATTTAGAAATTATTTACTTCTTATGGATTATAATTAATATTTTACTTTACAAAATACAAAAGAATTGATTGAGAAATGAAGGAGAAACACGTAAAAATATTGAAAAGGAGAGAGAGAAAGACAGAATAGGATGGAGAAAACGAGAGATGAAATTTATTCTAATTTATCCATAAAATTTATTTTATTAATTTTACAAAATTCATTTGAAAATTTCACATATTTCTATAAAATCCGGTAATGGAACTGAAAAGAATTGAATTGGTTTTTTTTTTTTTTTACTTAAACTGTATGGATGAATTTTTAGGGAAGTAAAGGCTAGTTTGCAACTTGTAAATGAGAAAAAAAAAAAAAAAGGTCGAAACGAGCTTTCGGCTCATTTAGCACAGTGACTCTCGTCCAGATGTGCAAATAAGCCTGCTTAGAGCTGGGTTCTGGGTGTTGAAACGACGTAGTCAAAGACTAAAAAATGTTCTTTTAAATATTTTAAATGAGAAGCTATCAAGTACAGAATAAATGGAATATATAATAGTATGCATCCCAAAGGTCTGAAGCTCTAATTCTACTTGAAGAAGATAGAGAGAGACCATCAATGTTCAATGCCACTGCTACTATTAGGTTGGATTGGTTACTACTTTTGGGTAGGGGTTTTCAAATCAGAATCAAACCAACATTGAATCAGTCAAAAGTAAAATCAAACCATGGTCAATAACTCGATTCTTGTGTTTAAGGCTGAGCTTCGGTTTTTTATTTTTCTGTAATATGAATGAGTGGTTCTCGTGCTCTTTAGAACTATATAAAAAAATATATAATTAAAGAAACTCCAATATATTTTTTAATATAATTTTTAAAATAAAATTTACAGCTTTTTATTAAACTGGTTTATTCTATTTCAATTCTACTTTTACTATTATTATTTATTCATGCTACAACTAAAAAAATTGAAAAAAAAAAACTTGAAAAAGATTGTTTAATTTAGGTTTCAAAGCGAATCCAAAACTGTCTTAGCAATAATAGTTTAAGAGCCGTTTGATTAAGCTTATTTATTTTTAATTACAATCAGTGATTTTAAAATTGAAGCTAACAGTTTTAAAATCAGTTTTAAAATCATGGTCATACATAAGCAGTGGTGACAGAGTTGATTACCGTTGTAGCATCATCGATACTTCTAATATTATCATCTTCAGAATCATGAGAAAAAGGGGAAGTGTTGAGAGAAAGAAAGTTATCTGTATCGGTGGTTTTGGTGTTAATGATGATGATTTCGCACTTCCACATACTCATCTTTCCAATCTTTTCTTTATATTTGAAATTTCAGATTCAAACTGATAAACTTGCAAATTTAATAATTACGATCTATTTGTAATCTGACATTTTTAACTTTGTTAATTTTTAAAATTTTTTAATTTCTAAAAATTTATTTTCTAAAATATATAAAGTTTAAAATTATAATTTATTTTTAAGTTTTTTTTATTACTATGTATCTATATATCTATATTCTCTCTCTCTCTCTCTCTCTCTCAAATTTAATAATTAACGATCTAGTATTGCACATCTGTGAGCATTTTTAACTTTGTTAGAGTTTGAGAGAATTTTTTTAATTTCTAAAAATTTATAATTTCTAAATATATAAAAGTTTAAAAATTAAAATAATATATATAAAGTTTAAAATTATAATTTATTTTTAAGTTTTTTTTATTACTATGTATCTATATATCTATATTCTCTCTCTCTCTCTCTCTCTCTATATATATATATATAAAAGGTGAAACAAAGAGAAATTTTGAGGCATTCTCTTGTTCAGCATTTTAGTTTTCTTTTTTTGATAAAATTTTGAGCTTTTTCTTATTTTTTTTTATTTTGATTGGTCAATATAATTATTTTTTTTTCATTTTAATATTTAAATATACTAATAATAATTGATAACTTTTAAAACTTTAATCTAATTCAACTAAAACCTTATCTTTGAAAACCTAATCTAATTCAATTAAAATTTGGCCTAACTTTCAACTTCACTCTGAAATTTTCGAGTAGTTGCAATTTCACTTTAAATTAATCTTTGTACCTTGGACACCCTGAATTTATCAACCTAGTCAACCTAGTTGCAATTACACCCTAATTTGAATTAATACCCAACTCATTATTTTTGCATCTTAAAATTGGTTCAATTTTAAAATCAAATATTTCAATGCTGATTTTTTTTTATTTATTATATGAGTACTTGGGTTTGATTTTATCATTTATTGTTTAAATACTTGGATATGGAGTCCAATTTTTTACATTATTTAAATTCAAATTCCAACCTTAGTTTACATTTATGGTAATTGCAACAAATTGACAAGTTTAAGGTGTAGTAAATCACTTTTAGGGTACAGTTACACCTTAAAACCAAATTAGAGTATAAATACAATTAGGTTGATAAATTCAGGGTGCTCAAGGTACAAAAGTCGATTTAGAGTGAAATTGCAACTACTCGAAAAGTTTAAGGTGAAATTGAAGGTTAGACCACTAAAATTTTATCTTTTAAATTTTTGAACCTAAAATCTAGCTATATACTATATTATATATATAATATATATATATAATAGAACGTTCAAAAACGTTCTTTTTGTTCCAACATGTTCAAAACGTTCTTTTTGTTCAACATTCTTTTTTTTTTTAGAAAAATTTAAATTTTTTTCTTTTCTTTATTTTGATTGGCCCGCAATTAATTTTTTAATTTAATACTTAGTATTTAATATGGATAATTGATAAGTTTTGAAACCTATTTAATCTAATCATCCAACCTAATTCAACTACAACTTTAACTTTTAAAATTTTAATTATTATATATATCATGAACAAGATCAAAACTTCAAAATTATTATACATACTTTTTTTTTTTTTTTAGTATTATTGTTGTGTTGTTTATATTAATCCTATTAAATCTGGATTTTCACAGGTCACTCTTAGCTGTTTTTCTTCTGAGATGGCCAGCTGAGGTATTTACACTGAATCGTGTTTATCTACTGGATGGCATTGGTTTGCATCTGTCTTGTTGTATTTTATGTTGATTTATATTTCACAGTTTGATGGAACTTGTGATGATTTGGTTTGTGAAGCCAAAACAAGAAGAGTATGTTCCAATCTATCCCTCTTGTGAGCCCCTTCAGCTTTCAATTTATTCTTGGATGAAGATTTTCAAAACTGGGTAGGCATTACAACTTGGTTTCTCTTTGTCTTGAGTTGATAAATAGGGAGTGGAGAGTGTTAATTCAGCATGTTTAGGAAACAAATGGTGTTACAGACCTGATGGCTAATGAAGCTTTGAAGCCTATCCGTGGAGTGCATTTGCTGGAAACCTTGAAAACTGTCCGTGGAGTGCATTTGCTGGAGACCCCTTCTCTTTTCTTTTCTAACTTACTGTATGCAGATGTTGTAGGAGCTTTTTGGCTCGTTTGGTCATTGTGTAATCTGGGTTTATAGCCTTCATCTTGATTAAAAAATAAATTAAAAAAAAGGAATTTCAAAACTTGAATACACGTAAAAAAAAAAAAAAACTAGAGGAGAACATGATTTTATAATTACATGCAAGCATTCTTTTATATTTCATGCATGTAAAAGAGAAAATCAAGAATCTCTTTTAGCTAGCAAAGGAATCATGTTGTTGTTTAAAGAATTGGCAAGAATCTCTTATATCAAGCAAAGGAATTAATAAATGTCCTTGACATATTAACATTTTATTCTTATAAGATAGAAATCTAATAAAGATACTTATATCAAGCAAAGGAATTAATAAATGTCCTTGACATATTAACATTTTATTCTTATAAGATAGAAATCTAAATTGTATAGTTATAGGACATGTAATAATTTTGGATATTAAATTATAATTGACCAAGAAGCAATAAGTAATAATTTGTTGGGATTATAACTGATTCGAGTGGAGCGCGCAGAAACATGCCGGTGGTAGAAGTAAAATAAAATTACCGACGATAAAAGTTAACAGTGATATGAAGCACTGGAATCTACTATCCACTCGATATCTGCATCTCCAATATGACAGCAATCTGCATCATGAGAGACTAAAGTCACCTCACCATCTTCTGCTGAGGCTGTAGCAGATGTATTTCTGTCTTTCTCCTATCTTCGACATTCTCCTGTTTGAGTAAACGACAATTCTTTTTTAGATGACCCTCCTTACCGCAATGGTAACACTTTCTCATTTCTCTAAACTTGGATCTATCACCTGACTTTTCATGCCTTGGACCTCTACTCTTGTTCTAGCCCTTATTCTCTGTGACAAGGGCTTGTGAACTGGTACTGGCAACATCTCTTCTTTGTATTTCTTTATTGAATAGTCTATTCTTTACCATATACATTGTTACCACACCATTAGGAGTTGAGTTACTCAATGATACCACAAGAGTATCCCAAATATCTGCTAGAGATCCCAACAGTAGGCATGCTTGCATCTCGTCATCCAAGGACATACCGCTGACTGCTAACTCAGTTACGAGTCCTTCAAAATTACTTAGGTGTTGTGTAACTAATCGCCCCTTTGACAGCTTTAAGTTCATGACTTTACAAATCATGAACACTTTACCTTGAGCATTTGTAGCCCCGTACATATTCTCTAATTTCTTCCAGAGAACTTGGGGATCTTTTTTAATTTCTCACGTGGTTGTACAGGCTAGCATCTATTCATTGGTGTATTGTACCCAATGTCTGCTTTTTTAACTTGTCCCACTGCTTTTCTTTCATTTCTTTTGGCTTTGCACTATCACCTTCAATTGGAACGTACAGATCTTTGCAATTGAGGTAGTCCTCCATTTTGGATTTCCACATCGAATAATTCGAATCCG